TTATTTAGTTTTAACACTTTTAATCATGTATTTAGGACTTTTTTCCAAAATAAATTTAAGTTTTCAAAAAATACTTCACACGAAATTCTGAAAGACGCTGTATGGGCCATGTTTCATGTTCAAAAATATTTCTCCATTCCCTATCACCTGATGCCAATAGTCTTCTTACCCAAGTAGATTTTTCTATCATTTTAAATCTCCTCTGTAATATTGTTTGATTAGAGTATTCCTTTTTACTTTATCAATAGGTCCTTGCCATAAAAAAAGGACTATTCAATGTTTTGATACAAGTTCTGTCTGTATACGGTCTCATCATAAAGAGATGAATCATTTTTTGAAAGTATCAATGTTTTATAAAAGAGTTATTCTACCTATTAGTGTTAGTATTCTTTATGACCACTGTAGTAATGATTATCTAAATTTTGTATAGCTTTATTACAGTTAATGCTTGTCATTTTATCTTAGTTGACAGAGTAATCATATTCCGAGAAGGTTAAATGTTTTGATCCCGCATTTTAATTTCCATTTACGGTGGGAGACGTCTTTACTGAATTTTTTACTTCCTATCCATATTAATTGTGTTTTGTCACTATTCACCTTAAGACCTGATATTTGTGCAAATAATTCTAACATTTTGAGTGCCTCATTAAACAAACACATAGAAACATTTAATATAAGAGATGTGTAGTCTGCGAGGCATTGTGTTCTATATTCCCTACTTAAAAACCCTTAACTTATTCATTGTTTTTAACTATAATTGCTATTATTTCTGCCACAAGTATAAAAAGATATCGTGAGACTGGGTCGCCCTGACGACAGCCTCGTTCTATCATGAACAATTCTGATACCTACCATTTTGCATACTAGCTGAGGAAGTATCTTTATATAGTGTATTGATCCAATGTCTGATACTCGGTCCAAAATTAAAAAAGACAATTACTGTCTAGAAACTTCAATGATACCGAGTCGAAGGCCTTTTAAAAATTTATTTAAACCAAAAATCCGGGAATGTTATTTTTTCTGTATAATTCATTATGTCGTATATTGATCTCGTTTTCTCTCCAATAAACCTACCATTTAAAAAATCTGATTGCGTATCTGAAATTATAAAAACTAAAATTGTTTTTATTCTGTAAGCTATTTCCTGAGGCTAATTTGTAAATTGAATTTGATAATGTAATAGACCTCCATTTCTTTTTAAAATTGTCTTGTTTTTTCTCCTTTTGGAACACATGTAATAATACCTAGCCTTTGATTTGTGGGAAACGATCCTTTAGTATACCTCTGGTTTAATGATCTCAATATAAACTATTTAATGCCTGGCCAAAACAATTTAAACAAGAGGCTCAGAGGGCCTGTTTCGCTCACCTGGATATCTAAGCAATCATGGCAAAATATTCTCCAAATGAGATCCAAGGGAATATGCCAGACCCCAAGGCCAATCCTTGTAGCATATCTGTATTAGATTTTTCGTGCCCAGCATTTTTATGTATGGTTATGGGGGGGGGATCTCAACTGTTTCCAAGCTGTGACTCAGAAAATAGGTCCCTATGGTTTTGACCAGACCCCAGGGTCTATTCTAATATCATGACTGCATTTGTCTCTTTTTGCCAAGCATTTGTATATATAGTTTTGGGGTGGGGATCTCAACCGTTTCAAAGTTATGACCAAGGGGTTAAGTCTCCAAGGGTGGGGCAAACCATAGGGTCAATTCTAATATCATGATTGCATTCGTCTCTTTATGCCCAACAGTTGTATATATGGTTATAGGGTGGGGATCTTAACCATTTCCAAGCTGTGACTAAGAAATTAGGTCCCTAGGGGTTCGATCAGACCCCAGGGTCTATTCTAATATCATGACTGCATTCGTCTCTTTATGCTAAGCATTTGTATATATAGTTTTTGGGTGGATATCTCAACCGTTTTAAAGTTATGGCCCAGGGACTATGTCTCCAAGGGTGGGGTGAGACCCTAGGGCCATCCTGGAAGCAAATGTGCATTCTTCTAAACCATTACCAAGTAATAAACCTATGTTGGCCCCACCCCTTAGCCCGGGGGCCAGCCACACCATTTGTACAATTTTGAATCCCTGCCTCCCATGAATGCTTCCGACCAAATATGATCGATATCCATGGCATTAGTCTACAGAAGAAGTCGCTTAAAGCAATATAGTCAAATAACCCGTTTTGGCCCTGCCCCTCAGCCACACTATTTGTACAGTTTTGAATCCCTGCCTCCCATGAATGCTTTTGATTAAATATGATTGATAGCCAGTGCATAGTTCTACAGAAGAAGTCGTTTGTAGCAATATAGGCAAAATGCCCCCTT